TTCCCCAAACTCTGCTAGCACCTTGGAGGCAAAACCCGAGTCTCAGATTTGCTTCAATTATGACATTCCAGAATGATTTTCTCTGATCCCACTTCCCTCTATGTGTAGCCTGCCTGGCCTCTAAGTACCCTTAGACATCCCACAGGCTCTTAGATTTCGCCTGGTCTGGGTAGTACTCAGCACGATGGGTTCCCCACCTCAGTTCTGCTTCCTGCATCCCCATTTCTACCAAGTGGGCCTGTATTCCCCCATCTCCTCCCAAACCCATGCAGTCACCTGATGCTACTAGGTCAATGTGGGTGCGTATCTTCCCCATCCCCCACCCTAACCTGAAGCAATGAGTTGTCTGTTTTTGGCTCCTGGCTTCTCTCAAGGCAGAATGATTTTAATCCCAGCTGCCCAGTGATGTCGGTCTAGCTGGCCTGAAACTTATCCCTAGGCCTGTGGGCTCCTCATCTCTACCCCATCACCTAGGGGTATGCAGGGTAGACATGAGGGGCTGCCTAGCTCCCTTCATGTGTGTTTGTATGTGTGTGCATGTATGTTTGTGCTAAAAAATGCATGCACCATATGCTTGCTCACAGACATGCACACAGGCCTCAGTACCCATGCATTCTCCCCTCTATCTTATAGAGTGTGTCAGGCCCTGGAACACTCTTTGCTGGGCGCCCTGCTCCAGACCTTTCCTTGGGCTTCCCATAGTCCCTGGTTTGGATCTCTACATGGAATTCACCACACAAGGTATTCCTGTGACAGTCCAATGTCATTCCAAGCAGAATGCCAGCCTTGCCTCTTTCTAGCTTTGTGACCCTAAGCATATTCCTCAACATCTCTTAGCTCCTGCCCATAACAGGGATAATGAAAATCTCCAGATTGCTCATTCATCAGATATTTAAAAGAGTGCCCGCTGTTTGCCAGGCTTGGTGCTAGGTTCTGGGGGAGGTGGTGAACGTGACCCAGCCCCCACCCTCCTGAACTTACATCCTACTGAGGGAGATGGCAGGAAATAAAGGAAGAAAATAGAAAAAGGAGTTTCAGTTCTGCTAAGTGATGCTTGGCAGATCGGATGCTCAGTGGAGGAGTGTGAGAGTACAGGGTGCTGAGAGAGGGCCTCTATGAGGAGGCAGGATTGGAGTTGAGCCCTAAGTGACAGGAGAGGCAGTCATTTAGAGATCTAGGGAAACAGCATTCTAGGCCAAGGGTACAGCTGGTGCAAAGGCCCTGAGATGGGAATGAGCTCAGGGAACAGAAAGAAGGCCAATGTGGCTGATGGGGTGGGGGATGGGGAGAGGGCAGTGAACCAGCTTAGACAAGGCTTTTTTAGGCCATGCTAAGGAGGATGAGTTCTAATCGAAGAGCAGTGGGAGACATTGGAGGGTTATGAGTGAGAGAAGGATATAATGTGATTTGTGTTTTCAGAGTTCATTCAGGCTGCCATGGGGAGAGTGAGGAGGGGGACAAGGTTGTCTTAGGCACAGCTGAGTCCCAGAAAGTGGCTGGTTTGGCATTTAGCCCTGGCCCTGCCAATGTTCCATTATTATCTTGGGTCCACCTTAGTTGGAGCTGAAAAAGATGCCACTGATCCCAAGGTCATCTCAAGGGCAATGGGTAGTAGGAGCCCCTGCTTGGAGCAGGGCCTGGTTTATGCTGAGAGAGGATGCAGGGGATCTAGCCACTGCCAGCCTGTCATTTGTAGGCTTCTGCTTGGGATCAGTGCCTTGTGGCCCAGCTGTATTTCCTCCCTTGGTCTTGCCAGCAGGGTTGGAGGGGGCAGGGTCACTGCTTCGGGTAGTATCTCCTGCTTGAATATTTGAGCCCTTGATCTTGTGGGAGGATCTGACGGAGGGCCTGGGAAACTGTGGGCTCCTCCTGCACCTCCAGCCAATCCAGGTACAGAAGGAAGCTATCCCCGAGTTGTAGTGCCAGCTCCTCAACTGTGTAATCTTGGGCGCAGCCTTTCCTGGTTCTGTGCCTCAGTCTCTCCATTTGTCAAATGTAGTGGTGGGAAGAGTGGACCATAGCTACCTTTCCCCTTGATCCCTGTAGGAGTTTGTTCTTCCTTGGATTTCTGCTTTCTTTGCATTCATGATCTCAAGCTCTCCCACCAGCCCTGGGGAAGAAGGAGAGCAGAGGTGATGCTCCCATTCTGAAGATGGGTTTATAAAGGCCAGAGGGTCCAGTGAGGCATCTCAGGGCACATGATGGTTCAGAGTGAAGGCTTGGGGTATTGTTTCACACCTCTGACCTGAAGCCCCCCTTTATGCACCCCTCTCTTGGGCTCAGAAAGAGAGGGGGGTGTCCTGGCTCAGCTATTTCTGGGCTCAGCTGGCCCTCAGCCCAGGCAGGGACTCTGGGCCCCCCGCCCAGAGGAGCTCAATGCTGCCCCTTGTCTGCCCACCCCCTGAAACTGAGGACACGGCCCAGTGCCCAGTGTTGGCAGAACCTCTATCCTACTCCCAGCTGCAGGAGGACAAAGCAGGGCAGGTAGGGTTGGAGCCAGCCTAAGGCAGCTGCTGAAAGTTGGGGGGTGAAGTAGGGGACTCCCAAGATGTCCTTGGTTTGTTTATAACCTTGGCTTTGGGGTTGGTGTAGCATGAGCATAAGGGGAAACTGTTTATGCTTTTAAATCCCAGCCTTCACTGGGACCTCAGACAGAGCCCTGACCAAAGGGGAAGTACTTGGTCCTGCTGGGCTCAGCCTCCATGTGTGGGTGTGGGAGCTTGAGGCGCCCTGGTGGAATTGGGTTGGAGCCTTGTGCCCCACATCCAATGGGCATCCAGGCCCCTGGGCCAGAAAGCAGGCCAGAGGACTAGAACTCAGGCAGCAAGCCAGAAGTCCCCAGTCTCCCTCCTCTTTCCTTTAGAAATGCTCCCCCCACCCAGAAGTCTCAGCTGAGGAGATGACCTCCTGTTCTCCCTGCTCCCAGCACACAACCGGAGGGAGCAGACTGAAATAGCAGCTGCAGCAGCAGGGATTTAGGGCAGACCAGACGGAACCCATCCTTAGTGCCGAGCCCCTTGGGGTCCCTGGTGTCCTAGGATCAGGGCCCAGATAGTCTACTGCCTGGATCTTCATGGTTTTTTTTTGTTTTTTGTTTTTTTGTTTTTTTAATCTGTAGATGTTTTCTGTTGCTCTTTTGTTTCTTTGTTTGTTTGTTTGTTTTTAAGTAAAATCTTACACTCCTGCCGTCTTCAGAACTCTAGGAGAAATGCTCAGAGTGGTGGGTGGAGGCCCCAGATCCCTGTCTACCCTGTTCTCTTTTCTCCATGTGTGAAAATCGAGGGTTCAATGAATCTTAAGTGGTCCTGTGGTGGCAGATACCCCCTCCAGGGCCTGGAAACCCCCAGAGAAGAAGACTGACTTTCCTATCCAGGCTCATCTTCTCTATGTGGGAAGTTCCTCTTGGAGTCTAACTCATGGTTTTTTTTTTTTTTTTTTTTTAAAGGAATAAAAGATTGCCGTATCTGATCCCTGTAGGTTCTGGTTTAGGAGGTTTGGGGGGAAGGCCTTATTATCTATTTTAACAAGTCCCTCAGGAGACACTTCAGACCAGGCAAGTAGAAGAAGAATGGGTCTCACTTAAATTCTTACTGCAGTACTTGCAACTTGTTCCACTGCAGCCCAGAAGGCTGACCAGTTTCTCTCTTCCAGACTCCCCTGAAACCTCAGGACCCTTTCTCCAGAAGAGCCTGGGGGTATTAGGGGAAGCTGAGGCCTGAAGGAAGGAAGTTGTTTGGTGGGAATGGTCTGTATCCCCAGTAACAAAGGTCATGGGGTGGGGTGAGGTGATACAGAAATAGCCTAGGGGCTAGGTGGGGCCAGGGGCAGAGACAGGGTTGGGGGGGAGCTAGAACTAGCCCATTGCATCTGTCCTCTTGTCTGAGATTAGCTTGGGCTGCAAGCCTCTGGGAATTGTGGGCTGGTTTTGATCAGCTTTAAAAGGGGGTAGGGATGGAGATAACAGCTAAAAATGCATCTCCTCATTTTAAGAGGAGGTAAAGACCCAAAGCAGGGTAGAGGGGAGTGGGGGGCAGGCCTGGCTGGGGTGGTAAGGAGGCCCAACTTGGACCCACATGGGGTCACTCAGTGAGTTGGGCAGAGCAGGGCCTAGCTCCCCTTCTGGTGCTCTCCCCAGAATGTTCCATGGCATCCCTCCTCAAGGCTGGGTGAGCTCTGGGGGTCCCGGTGTGGAGGGGATCCCCAGGTCCTGCTCATCCTTTCTCCTCGCACAGCCAGGGCTCTGGGCGCTGGGCAGAGAAGACAGGCAGACTGTGTAGGTGAGGGTCCTGGGTGGCGGCTCATCCGCCCAGCACCCTGGACAGCGCCTCATGCTGGGCCTGGGATGGCTGCCCTGGGACCTCAGCTTGGTTTCTCTGGGTTGGCGTCAGGTTCTGATGAAGCTGCACTTCTGTTGACTTCCTTGTCTCCTTTCTTAAATCTCCCTCTGAAGGCATCCCCAGCTCATTTCCCTCCATTCACCCACAGATTCACTCTTCTCTGGCTCCTGAGAACTTGGTGAGAACTTGGAAAGAAACAAGGGGACCGGCTGCTGTCAGTCTGGAGTTTTGCTTACCTCATATACAGGCAGGAAAGGGAGGGGGTTTGGAGAAGTCCTGGACCCTTTCCTAGTTCCTCCCAACCTGGATTTTTCTCACAGGGCTTTGGTAGATTCTGGAGGGCACAACAGACACATGTAAGAGGTAACAGGGAAGGCAGGACTGGGCACACAGGATGAATGCAGGTCAGGGGAGAGATGAGCTGGCCTGAGCGGGACTGTTGCCCTAGGGTGCCACAGTCTGAACCCGTATTCCAGCCAGGAGGTCCTGAGAAGATCGTCTCACCATCCTCCTGTCCCCAGGCAGGCTGCCCAGTGCTGGTCCTGCTGGGTTTTAGACCCCTCGGCACCTGTCCTGTCTGACTCACCTCTTCATCTCTTCATTCCCCTCCGGGTCTAGGGGAGTTCCAGGAGCAGTCAGCACGGGGAGGAAGTAGTGGCGGCCATGGATGAGGATAAGCTTCTGTCTGTACTACCTGTGGAAAGTGGTGCTGCCTGGGACCCCAGCTTGGAGCCCGAGGAAGAACCTGAGGTCCAGAATGGAATGGCATACAGTCAGGACCTGAACAGTAGCTACAACAGCCCAGCTCATGAGATGAGAGGCACTCTGGTGGACACTGAGGAGCCCACACAGGGCCCGGACATGGCTCTCCATAGTCTCAGCCTTGGCCTTTCCTTCACCAATGGCCTAGTTCTGGGGCCAGACTCAAATATTCTGGAAGATTCTACAGAGTCCAGACCCTGGAGGGCTGGTGGGCTGGCAGAGGGGGACAATGTTTCCAAGAATCTCTGTCTGGACACTGAGGACACTCAGCTGGGGTAAGTGGGGTCTTGGGTTGGGGGCTCACTACATTTGGCTGTTTCCAGTGCTGTGTGGCCTGGTTCTAACCACTTAGCCTCTCAGGGGCTTGTTTTTCTCCTCTATACAGTGAGAATTTCATGTCCCTGTTTTGCCCAGCTTCTGAGTGTTTTGGAAGGATAGAGCCATTAGATTTCAAAAGCCAGCAGGCCTGTTGTGCCTTCCACCCCCAAAGCCTCCCAAACCATCATGGGCTGTATCCACGTGGGTTTGGAGAACCACACACCATCCTCCAACCAAGGTTGGGCAGTAGAGTTGAATTCCAAAATGCTTTGATGTGGAAGGTCATCTGGTCCATCCCTCTGTTTCCTGGAGATGAAGATCTCCCAATTCTGTAACTGACCTCAAAAAAGTAGACTTTGTGGGTTAATCCCTGCCATTTGCTCCTCACTTGAGTGCCCTCTGGAGGTTCTACTAGGAATCTCACTTCAGTCCTACTTAATGCAGTTACAGTCCCATTTCTATTATCCTCAGTAGGAGGTGGAGAAACCTTCATGTCTTGGAGGTGCTAGTTGGATGGGGGTGGGTGGGAGGGGTGGGGATGGGACAGGAAATGTCTAGAAGACCTCAGGGTGGGCTGAGAAAAGCAAAGTCTTAGTGTGGTACAGAAGGCTTAGTGTGTACAGTTGTGGGCCCTGGCCTGGACAAGCAAGTATGCGTAGGTGGCATGCACGTGTCTGTCTGGCCTGTGCATTGTTGTGGGTATAGGAATGTATGAACACATGGATATGCATGGGTCTGTGTGGTTTCGTGTGTGTGTCTGGGGGAGGTTGTGTGTGCCTGGCCTGTGCATCTGTGGGTACACACTTGGGTCGGCATGTCCAGGTCTAGGGCTGAGTGTGGCAAGCTTTGTGGATAGGAATGGAAGTACGTGAGGCTGGGTGCCTGCATGTACCAGGTATCCTGTGGCTGGGAGTGTTTCCATCCAGAAAGGTCCTAGGGCCGCTACCTGGCTCGCAGTAGGGGGCACACAAGGGTCTGGGGCTTCTTGGAGCATACTGTTTGTGTTTATGTGGTGTATTTATTGGGGATGGCTGAAGGTAGGGGCAGATGGAAGTTTGGAGATTAGGCTAATGGTCTTCAAGCCTCTGTCAGGACCACCTCTCAGGTCTGCTCTGGTGCATGAGAGGGTGGGAGACAGTGAGATGGGGGAGACCATTCAGGCTCTGACAGTGAGATGAGGGCTCCCCCAAGGGCAGAGATCTGTATTATTCAGATGTCTCTGGAAACTAGCACAGGCCTAGCAGAGGTCCCTTTGCTGGACAGGTGTCTGGCATCTGCTCTGGTAACCAGGGCAGTGACCCTTATGTTCCTTCCCTTCCTCCTGGAGGTCACCAGAGACAACTCTACCCCAGCTTACTGCCAGGTGCCCTGCTACTTCTTAGATTCCTGCCCCCCTCTCCACTTGCTTCTCCAGCAAGAGAAGGCCTAATGAGGCTGAGGTCTCAGTCTGCTGGAACTGGGCAGGGGGCAATGGGCTGGGACTCCAGTTCCTCTCTCAGGTCAGTATGTTTTTGCAGGGAACACAGTAGGACCACATCTCAGACTTGGGGTCCAAGGAGGTGTCTGAGGGGAGGGGGTACTTCCCAGTCCTCCAAATAGAGCTTGGACTCTCTGAGGCCACAGGGGCTGGGAGAAGCAGTGTGTGGCCGATCCGCAGGGGGAATGAGGGGTGTGCCACTTTGCAAAGGCAGACCTTGATGTATCTGAAATGGGCTGGACTCAGCCTGCTTCTTCCTTTGGGTCTCTTCTCCTCGTTGTCTCTATGTTCTGTCTCTCTCTCTGTCTCTTCCTCTCTTTCTCTTATTCTCAGTCTATTTCTTGTCTCTCTTATTTTTCTTCCTCTGTCTCTCTTTTTCTTCTTGTGGCTCTTTTGTTCCATCTCTCTTGATCTTGCTGTTTTTCAGTGTCTCCTCTTCCTTACCTGTCTTCCCTATGTATCTCCCCAGGGGGTAAGAATCCTCCTGGGATGCCTCAGTTTACCTCAGTGTGTTCTATTCTAGGTGCTGGGGATACTTCAGTGAACAGAACATACAAAATTCCTACTATGATGGAACCCAGGGTCTGGGGGGGGGATAGATAATAAATCGTGAAAGTAATAATTATATAGTATGTAGGAAGGGGGGGTAAGTGCTTTGGAAAAAAAATCAAGTAGGAAAAAAGGGCTGAGGTGTTTGGAGGTGGGTCCCAATTATAAAGAGGGTACTCAGGGCAGACCTCATGAAGAAAGGGGTGAGGAAGGAGGGCTTCAGCATGAGGGAAGAGCCCTGTGGCAGAGGAATTGCCAACCCAAAGGCCTCTTGCAGGTACAGGACAAGGCCCTGTTGTGGCTTCGGCGCACTGGGAAGCCAGGGGGCTGATAAATACCTGTAGGTTCACCCCGCCCGCAGTTCAGCAGGGTTTACTGAGCGCAGACTGTGTGCTGGCTATTCCCTGGCCTTGTGAGGGGTGGGACTGGGGAACAGATGGGAAATGCTGACAGGGGCTGGCAGCTAGGGAGGAGATACCCTGAGCATGGAGGATGAGGAGAGGGGCCGGTGAGGTGGGTGATGTGCTCCTGCCTTCCTCAGTCTCTCTGAGGAGGTGACATTAAGGCCAAGCCTGAGAGTTACAGTGTGGTTGGATAAGCTGAGAGCCTCTCAGGCTGTGGGGATGGCAAAGTTTTGACCCAGCATGACCCTAGTTGTGATGGGGGATACCCACGTGGCTCTGGGAAGCCTGGAGGCAGCAGCCCCTGGGCCACAGTGCAGGAAGAGGCCTCCCATTCATTCATTTAGACAAATAAATGATGCCTACTCTGGGCCAGAGACAGGGTGGGCACTGGGGAGGACCACGTCCATCGTTTTTCATTGCTGTACCTTAGCACGCAGCCCAGCATCTGGCATCTCATGCCCAGAAAGTCTGGGCTGAAAGAATAAACAGGACATCATCCATGCCTGAGCCTGCCCCTGTGGAGCTCCCAGACGTGGATGGGTGCCATCCTAGCCTGTGGAAAGGGAGGCCCCCTGGCAGCATGGTGACTGGTCCTTGCATCCCACAGGCCGGGTGGCCCGGGAGAGCCGGATGTGCGGGACGGCTTCAGTGCCACATTTGAGAAGATCGTGGAGTCAGATCTGCTTCGGGGAACCCAGTACAGCAGCCTCGACTCCCTGGATGTGTTGAGCCTCACGGATGAGAGTGACAGTTGTGTCAGCTTTGAGGCCCCCCTAACACCCCTCATCCAGCAGCGGGCCCGTGATAGCCCCGAGCCAGGGGCCAGCTTGGGCACTGGGGACATGGGGCCTGAGGGGGACGTGGGAGCAGCTGGTGGTGATGGGGAGCTGGGCAGCCCCCTGCGATGCTCCATCTCCAGCAGCCGATCAGAGAACGTCCTGAGCCGCCTGTCTCGCACAGCTGTGCCCAATGGCTTCCATGAAGATGGACCCCGGGGTCCAGGTGGGGATGAGGAGGAGGAGGAGGAGGAGGAGGAGGAGGAGGAGGAGGACACAGACAAGTTGCTGAACTCAGCCAGGTGAGGCAGAGCCTACGCTGGGAACTGGGAGAAACGTTAGGCAGATGGGGAAACTGAGACCCAGAGCAGGCACCGCAGATGAGGGCGAGCCAGTGCCCAGAGTGAACAAGCCCTTTCTATGGTTGTGGCATCCCAGACCTCCCACCCCGGTCCTCAGGTTCCCTGCTTCCCTCTTAAGCCCTTCTAGCCGTGGTGGGGCCAGAGAGCTGTGATGTGTGGATTATGTAGCTTCCAGTGATTTCACTGCGGGGCTCTTCTAAAAGTCTGACTAGATTCCCTCCTGATACAGTGGAGTTCTGCCCCTGCTTTGGTACCTGGGTGGTTTTCAGAGGCCTGGGGAGACCTCCCAGCCTCTTCCCGGGGCTCTGACCCTGGTCCCCTTCTTTCTGTCCCCACCTTCCTTGTGCAGCGACCCCAGCCTAAAGGATGGCTTTTCAGACTCGGACTCAGAACTGAGCAGCTCGGAGGGGCTGGAGCCGGGCAGTACAGACCCACTGGCCAACGGGTGCCAGGGTGTCAGTGAGGCAGCTCGCCGGCTGGCCCGCCGCCTCTACCACCTCGAGGGCTTTCAGCGCTGTGACGTTGCCCGGCAGCTAGGCAAGAAGTGAGTTGTTTGCATACCCCCCACCCTGGGCAAACCTAGTGTCTTCCTCAGCCTGAAGGAGGTGTGGGTGACTACTGTCAAGGGTGTCTGGTGCTTGGGGTGTTCCCAATAGTCCCCAAGAGCTCCTCCTCCTGCTACTGTCCTCATTCCTGGCCTTGCCCTAAATCTGTTTCCTTTCTGGGCTGCCTGGGCAAAGGCCCATGCTCTCAGGGAGGGGAGGTGGTGGTGGGGCGGTCCCTTGGGGCTGGGGAGTACAATGTGGCCTGTGGTTATGGGACTGTGGAGATGGTAGTGAGGACAGAGCAGGGGGGCGGGGCTGGGGAGAAGAGAACCTGGGCCTGGGCGGGGACTGCTGGGGACCCAGGAACTGGGAGGGGGTTCCTGGCTCTCATTAAGCCCACTCTCAGTCTGTTGGGACTGGCTAAGGGGGCTGAAGCCACCAAAGCACAACCCTGGCCCTGGGACTGGGGAAAGTGAACTAGCCACATGGAAGTGCTGGGGGCTGTGTGGGGATGGGGGGACAGGCAGGGACTGAGGGAATCAGCAGACACACCCCATGTGTTTCTGACTTCAGCATGGCCACCTGCCTTTGCCCTTCCTCCAGGGGGCCTCTTATCCCCACATTTAGGCTCTGAGATGGGGAGGCAGTCACAGCTCTCAAGTCAAAGGGGCAGTCCAACCCCTAGGCCCCAAGTCGAAACTGACTGAAAAAGCTGAGGCCAGCTCTGCTTGGGATCCTTCCCCCAACCCCTGTTCCCTCCTCCCCCAGCCCCGCCCCCCCTTCCTCCTTTACCTTTCTTAGCCTCACCATTGCTCCTGCCTCCCAGCCCCAGTCCAGACATTACATCATGACTTTGAAGCCTCACCTCTCCTGCTGGACTGTGACCCCCACCTTCAACTTAATGACATTCTCCTGGAGCCTAGGTTATGTTTGATCTGCAGCCTTCTGTCCTTCAGCCCCTCCTCTACAAGAGTTTCCATCAGCACCTAACCTGCTTAAGTCTCTCCCATCTGAAAACAAAAATTCTTCCACAACTGCACTTCCTCCCAGCTTCTTGGCAGTCAGAATTCTCAAGTTTTCTGCCTTAGGTGGCCTCAGTGCACTCCCCCTCTCTACATTCAACCCCTGGGGCAGGCTTCCCCTCCCACCATCTGCCTTCAGCTGACTTTCCAAGTCAGGGCCAAGTTAGCAGCCTTTGTCTTTGAGTTCAGGGGCTGCTACCTGGCCTCAGTTTATCCCTCCTCAACATTGCAGACATACCCCACTCCTTTCTTTTTCCTTCAGTACAATTTTTGTTTTGCAAATTTCAACCATACACAAAAACAGAGAAAATACATGAAATCTCCACATACCCATTACTCAGCTTCAAAGTTAACAACATCCCCCTTCCCCACCCCCGACCCATTTTGCTGGGATATTTTAAGGCATATTTTAGACACTCTGTCATTTGATCCATAAACACTTCAGTACGTGTCTCTAACTGATGAAGATTTTTAAATATAATCATCATTCCATTATAATTTTTAACAAAACTAGCCAACATTCCATAGAATGTCTAACATTTAGTCTTAGTTTAATATTTTGTCTCAGAAATGCTTCTTCATATCAGGATGCAAATGAGGTCCATGCTTTGCCTTTGGGCACCATGTCTCTTGAGTCTCTTTTTTTCCTCTTAAGTCTCTTAATAGGCTGCCAGGCTGCCTCCTTTTTCTAAGGCCATGTATCTGTAGAAGAAATGGAGCCATTTGTCAGGAAGAATTTTCCATGATTTGAATTTGGTGTCCCCATGGAGTTATGTCACACTTTCTCTATTTCCCCAGTCCCAAGTCTCCTGTAAATGGGGGAAAGCTTGGGGCTTGTATAGGTTCAGGTGGAAATTTGTTCTCTTTTCTGACAAGAATTCATCTCTCCAATATTCTTGAAACTCTCCCTTGGCCTCCCAGACACTGCACCCCTGGCTCTCTCTGGCTGTGTTTCTGTTTCCTTCAGGGGCGCCCTCTCTCTCCTCAGTTGGCCTCCACCCTTAAGAGGGGCTTCCTCTGATTTCCGTCCTAGGTCTGCACCCTTCTCTCGCTTGGGGTCATCCCCTTTCTCCAACCATTAAGCAGCTGCCATCTCTCACACTGGGACATCCAGCCCCACCTGATGTCCAGCTCTGGACACCTCCCCACAGCCCACCTCCTGGGGTCATACGCTGCACCGTTCCATTGCCTGTGGATTCTGCTTTGGAAATCTCACTCCTCCCCAAACTCTCTGTCTCTCTAGGAAGCAGCCCCTGCAGCCCCTGCAGCCCTTAGTGGTCTCCACTCAGCAGACAGTGTTCCACACATAGATCTGACCCACTCACTCAACCCCTCCCTTCTTCACCCCCTTCCTGAACACTACCCATCCTTCCCTTGGCTGTTGTGCCCCACTCCCTACCTCATCTCTTGCTGCCACTGCTCCTGTTCTCTGGCTCTGGCCACAGGGCCCTGCTGATAGCTACTTGGACTAGTGCAGTTTCCTTTACTGGGAACACTTCGCGTCATCGGTCTCCCTACTCCCTTCACCTCACTGGCTCTTACTTTCCTATAGGTCTGCTGTCTTCACAGAGACCTCATCTCCTTTAGGAAGCCTTCTTGACCCCCTCCAACCCAAGGATGGACTGTCATAGCCCAGCTGGCTGGCAGGGGAAAGGCAGCCTAGGGAAGGGCAGGTCGGGTGGGTGGCTCTGGGTCCCCCAAGGCTCACTGCCCATGTGCCTCCTATTGGTGGCTGTGCCCTGCTTCTAACGAACACCCCATGCTCTCCTGACAGCAATGAGTTCAGCAGGCTGGTGGCCGGGGAGTATCTCAGCTTCTTCGACTTCTCGGGCCTGACCCTGGACCGAGCGCTCAGGTCAGTGGGGCTGGGATTGGGGGGTATCCACATGGGACACAGGCCACACATCTGGATTCTCATGTAAGCTCTGTCATAAGCTTGCTGTGCAACCTTGGGTGAGTCTCTGGACCCTCCCAGGAAGGCTGTGGAGAAGGGGCCATGAGCACAACAGTACCTGGTAATTGGTGGATGGCTGAGCGTAGGAAGGTGGGAATGTCATCTTGAGGTTTCTGGAGCTGAAGGGCAAAGGACTTGCCAGTATTTGAGCACTTCCTCTTTGCCAGACAGGATGGGTCTTTCCACACGCTTTGGACGTCATCCTGACCACACCCCTGCAGCATAGGTGTTAGGACTGCTGTTCACAAATGAGGAACCAGTCATTAGGTAAAGTGATTCCCCCTCTGTCCCTGAGGGAGGAGATGGCAAAAATGGGGTTTGATCTCAGGTCCTCTGGTGTTTGGATGCAGACAGTAGCCTTCAGGAGGGTCAGGTGCAGGCTCCAGGGGGTGGAGGGTAGGGAATAGAGGGCAGCCCAGTGTCCAGCCAGTCGACAGGCAGGGCCCACAGGGAGACAGCAGGCCAAGCCCTTGGGGCGTAGGGAGATTCGCAATCTCTGTGCTAAGTGGGGGGTGGTCCCCAGATGGTAGATCTCACTGTGTCCCACATGTTTCCCACACTTAATAAAATGTATTTTCCATTCCTTTTTCTCTGCTTCACTTGGGATATTTTCTGTTGACCTGCTTTTAGTTCACTTACCCTTTTTTCTGTGTCTAATATGCTGTTAAATTCATTTATTGAATTTTTTACTTTTTATTATTATATTTTTCAGTTCTAGAATGTTCTTTCTTTCTTTTTTTTAAAGATTTTATTTATTTATCTGACAGAGAGAGACACAGTAAGAGAGGGAACACAAGCAGGGGGAATGGGAGAGGGAGAAGCAGGCTTCCAGCTGAGCAGGGAGCCCGATGTGGGACTCTGATCCCAGGACCCTGAGATCATGACCTGAGCTGAAGGCAGATGCTTAATGACTGAGCCACCCAGGAGCCCCTAAAATTTTCATTTTGTTAAATTATAAAAAAATAGATTCTAATTCTTGGGGGGGGGGATTTCTCATCTTTCCATTCATTTACTCCATCTTTCCCTCTCTTTTTGAACATACTAATCCTAGTTATTTCAAAGTCCTTATTTCAAAGCCTGCTCATCCCAATATCTGTATCATTGGAATCATCTCATCTGTTTCTTTTGTCTCTTGTTCTTCTCTTGGTGTTCCATCATACATCCTGTCTCTCTGCACGCTCAGTAATTTTTTTTATGAGATGCTGTACATTTTGTATAAAATTAGAGAGGTTCTAGATAATTGTGTTTTCCTCTAGCTAAAGTTTACCTTGTCCTTTGCTAGGCAGTTAGAGGTGGGGCAGGGGGTGTACTCTTAATCTGACCATGGCTGAGCTGAGGAAAGGCTGTACCAAAGTTTGGTAAACTCAGGGATCTCCAATCACAGGGTGGAGGCCCGCATGGCTTTCCACTAGAAGCCTAGTGTGTTCACTGGGGCCTCTCCCTTTGGTGGGTCCTGAATCCTAATTGTGTCTCCTCAATATGGGTAGAGTGTCAAAACAAAACAAAACAAACTCAGTCCTTCTACTTCTTAGAGGCTTTCTGCTTAGCTTCTTAGCACCCTGCCCCTCACATCTTCAGAATTTGGCAGACTTCTCAAAGGGAATATTGGCCATATATTCACAACCCCTCAGGTCTCCAGGTTTGTGTCTTCAGCTCTCTGAAACCAAGTCTTCTGCCTCTTGCCTTTGCACATAATCAGCAATGGCCCCAAGGAAAAATTATCTGTAGATTAACCCCTCACCTCCATTCTCTCCTCTCTGGAAGTTTGGCCCAGTGGCTTCCTGAGAGCTTAAGAGAGATGTATTCTGTCTGGCTTCTCTCAGGTTCTCAGGGGAGGTATTGCGCGGCTGCAAGTTGCTCTGTCCTGAGCTGAGTCTGAAGTTTGCACTGGGATGAGGAAGAGTGGTGGGAGAAGATGTTTGGTGGGTCAGGTCACGATCAGAGGCCTGGGTGTTGTGCTGGAGAGCCTTGTATGCCAGCCCAGTAGATTGAAGATTAACTGCAAAGGCACTGGAAAGCCACAGAAGATACTGGATGTAAAAGCATTATTTTGGAGGTAGTGCTGGCGGCCTTTGGTCTGGAGGCATGCAGGCTTTTGAAGAGGGTCTGGTGGGAGAGGATAGGCCTGAGGTGGGAGAGGATAGGTCTGAGGTGGACAGTGGGGCTAAAGGAAAGATTGGTGTGAGTAGAGAGATGGGTGAGGCCAAAGTGCAGGGGAGAGGGTAGGCAGTGGTGAGGTTGAGCCTGGGGGACACCTGAGAGTTTGGTGGTGGCTGTGTTGGATTGGGGCTTGGGGAGGACCCCTGGTGAAGGAGTGTTTGGCCTGGGGAGTGGGAAGGATGGATGGCTTGTAGATAGGACAGGTCAAGGCTGGGATGGGGGATGGGTTTTAAAAAGTCCTACCTGAGTGTGGTTAGAGGAGGAGGGGCAGAGCTGGGTGCCAGATGGGAGGAAGAGAACAGGGAACAGGAGAGACCGGGGGTGGGAGGAAGGGGAGACTAGATGACAGACAGTGTGTTTTGTATGGCAGTTGACTGCCTGGGATTGAAGAAGACCATGGCCTATAGTGTTGGATGCCTTGAGAAGCCTCAGAGGGTGAGGACTGGCCAAGATGTGCTCACAGGTCTCAGGGGGCCTCAGGAGCAGCACGAGAGAGCATAAAGCAAAGTGGGCTTTCCAGAAACGAAATGAACCATAGCAAAATTAGGAATGAACTAGTCTCAGGAACCCTGCACAGATAGAGGCTCAAATTTGCTCAGTTTGCAGTTTTTCTTCCTAAGAAGAGGGGTGCATAGGCCCCATCTCCCAGCCCCTGTGGTTTTGGGATCAACTCCCAGGGCCCCTGAAAGTCAGTGGCTTTTGAAGTGGGCCAGGAGAAGTGGGTAGAGGTGCCCAGTAGAGGAGGGAAAGTCCTTTCAGATAGCTTCAGCCTCCCCAGAGGCATGGAGCTGGAAAGGTGCCTGTCCTGGCCAGGGTGTGAATATGGTGTGGAAGGTGGATGGGGGTGAGGTTGGAGGGACAGGAGCGTGGTGGGAACATGTTCTGTGAAGGCCAGAACATGAGGAGCTTGGCTATTATCCTGAGCACTCTGGGGAGACAGTGACAGGTTTTAAGCAGGGATGAGTCTCAACTGCATGTGTGTTTAGAAAGGCTGCTCCGTGTCTTCAGGGGCAATGTATCAGAGAGGCACAGGGGTGCCCCAGTCTGGAGGCCACAGTGAGTGTGCTGGGTGTATGATGAGGGCAGAGGAGGAGGAGGGTTTGAGATCAAGGGTGAAGAACAAGTCACTGGCAGTTCAGACTTGGTGGGGGGGAAGGGTGAGGGAGGCCAAGGTGGGGCTTGGGGTTCAGCTGGTGGCACATCTGGTGAGGAACAGGAATGACTGAGGAGGAGGTGGGGTGGGGGGCGTGGGGGCGTGGGGGCAGGTGTGGCCCATGCAGGCCTCGTCAGAGAGGAGGCATATAGAAGTGGGCGTTTATCCTGAAGCAGGCCCACGGCAGAACTGAGGGGCCTTTATTCCTCACAGTCTGTCCCCTGCCTACTTCCTGGAAAGCATTGAGGGCTGAAATTCTAAAGCCCCAGCCTCCACAATCCGGAAGCTGTCCTGGGGAAGGTGCCTGTGCACTGGAGCCCCAGCCCCCTCCGACGGGTTTATGTGGTGCGTGCATGCGTGTGCGCATGCGTGTGTGCGCATGCGTGGTGGTGGTGGCAGCGAGTTCTTCCGTGGGTGAGGATCCAAACTGACTGAGGGACTCTAGAGGTCTCCAGCATCCTTAAATTGCCCTCCAGAACCTTCCTGAAGGCCTTCCCGCTGATGGGGGAGACGCAGGAGCGTGAGCGGGTCCTGACGCACTTCTCCCGCCGGTACCGCCAGTGCAACCCGGAGGACAGCACCTCGGAAGGTACGGCCGCCTGCCCTACCTGCTGCTCCGCGGGGCCCCGGCTTCCCCCCAACCCCGCCAACAGCCGCTTCTGTCCTGCTTGCTAAACACGGAACACAGGAACTATGGCACCTGGAATGAGGTCTGCATGCTGGACAAGACACCTTCCGAATGTCTTGCCTATGGTCATTCTTCGTGCCTGGGAGTCCGCTGTCCTAGATTCGGGCCTGTGGTGTTCTGTTCTCCCCCGCCCCCCATTGCGGTGCTGATTGTTGGTGCGGTGGGAGTCCTGGGGTGGAGTCCTGGGGCGGGGCCCTCTTAGTCCACTGAGCGGCAGGACTTTCCCTGTGAATGGACCTGAGTCCCAGGACCTGGGGGATGAGGCCAGTTATTGGAGGAGACACAGGCCATGGTAGGGACATAGTCCAGGACCCAGCGCCGCTCCTGGGTCTGAGTGTCAAGATGAGTTCGGTCACAGGAGGCAGGAGTCTGGCCTAGAACAGGCCCAGGGTGATCGGGGGCCCTCTGAGAGGAGAGGTTGGCCCTCACCTGGGGCAGGCAAGTGACTTTGGTGCTGTGGTGGGGGTGGGGCAGGGAGCATCCCATAGGTCCTGGGCCCTGAGGTGCGTTTGGCTGGTAGCTGGCCTCTTCCTGTCTCCAAGGCCACCAGGTTGACTCTGTCAGGAGACAGTTGGGTGGCTGGGTTTGGTGAAGAACTGGGTCCTCACACTGAGGGTGCCACCATCTCTGATTTAGATGGGATCCATACACTCACCTGTGCTCTGATGCTGCTCAACACGGACCTGCATGGACATGTGAGTCGGGGAGGCAGGAAAGGGGCGTGTCTTCTCACTGATCCTCCCCACCATGTCCTGGGGCTCCTCCTTTCTCCAGCCCCCTTCCTAACAGCTGCTTGCTGGCCATGGTTCTTTAAGCAGACCTGGGAGCTGGGCAACTTGGCTTCTAGACATGGCCCTGTCTCTATCTCTCTGAGATCTGCCTGTCCCCAAGCAGGACAATGAGAACAGCTGAGGCACAGGGGATTTAGGGTTTGCAGGATAAGATGTGCCCCCAATCTGTGTCAACTCCAGGCATTGCTAAAAGATCTCGTGCTCTTCCTACCCTTGTCCTGCAAGTCCGAATTTTACCCCGCTGCATTGTCTGGCTCCAGGCAGCCCCCACCCCTCAAATGGTAGGTTGCCCTCAAGGGGCATTCTTATCACCCCGACCCACCACCAGGCAGTGACTGACAGGTGAGTGCCCCAGGCTATGAGGCTATGTTCTCTCAGCCCTGGGCTTTCTCAGTGTTGCTTGTGGCTCAGTAACTCCTTCTTCTTTCCTCCATCTGCTCCCGGGACCCCCCTCTTTGGGCTCTCTTGCCCTCCTTCAGGTGGTAAGTGTAGCTGGTGGTGTGCATGCCTGTGAGCCCAGACCCCCCATCTCCATGTTCCCTTCTGTGTTCCCCATCACTTCATCTGGCCCTACCAGTCGCTGCCCCATCATTGCTCACCTAATGGAGCTCAGAGTCCCTCTGTTGATTTGGGGATCTTTCATTAACTCCTGGGGACAAGAGGGCATCCAGTATCATTCTGGAGTTAAACAAGAAAGCCCAGGGCATAGAGTGGAAGAAAGAACTAGGACACACCCAATTGCAGATCCTCCTCTTACCTCCACATGGAAGCTCTGTGACGCTGGGCAAGACTCTGGGCCTCTCTGTGCCTCAGCTTATGCCCCTGTGAGGTGGGAATAATGATACTCTGACTAGTGTCCTGGGGAGAATGGAGAGAATTAATATGCACAGAACCAACTGTCAGGGTCTGGCACCTAGTGAGGATTTTATTATGAATAATGTCATTACATAAGAATGACAATGGTATTCATTACTTATATTAACATTTGAATGACGGAGAGCCCTAAGGCCTAGCCTGCAGATCTGTGGAGGGTCACGAATATGAAGATTGCAGCCTGACGGCAGCCTGAGCAGGCTGGCTCAGGTGGGCACACTGGGGCACCTGGCCTGGGAAGGGTGAGAGCCTTGCTGACTTTGGCATAAAGAGCTGTCATGGGCTGGCAGCCTGAGCATGGAACAGGAGAGAAGACAAGTATATTCCATGGGAATGTCACCAGAGCTAGTGCCTGTCAACCAGCTAATGCTCCCCCAGATGGCTCACTCTGTTTACGGAGAGCAAGTTTTGCTAGCACACCTTAGAAAGAGCACTAAAGATGCTGCACCCTTGGTTGAGCCTCAGGGCAACCTCAGGACCCTGCCGTGCCAAGTTCTAGAAGGCCTGCTCATGGTTACAAATGGCAGTAGCCACTGTCCAGTGACTCCTTAGGCTGAGGAGTCCCCTAAGCTGGGTGGGCCTTCGTTGCCACTGGCCCACCTCAGTGCCAGTGGCTGAAGAGAAACACCAGCCTCTTCCTGGTGCTCTTGTGGGTGGGTCAGGGTGGTGGTATTTACAGGCAGTAGACCTTGAGGATCCCGGTGTTCTCTCTTAAAGCACTATTGCAAAAGGATCAGGGGAAAGGGTTCTGGGCCAGAGTCCCCTGTATTTCCTCACATGACAGCTGTATGGCCTGGGGCAAGTTACTTACCTCACTAAATCTCTGATTCGCAGTGTATGCTTCCTGTGGCTTTAGGAGATGGCACTTAGCCTGGGGCCTGGCTGCAGTTCTGTGAGCTCTCCAGAGGCTCTCCACGGGAGCGGGAGCGGCTTCCCCTGCTTGGAGCTGTCCCCCTTGCACTCCATGGTGGATGTGGGCATCTCGGGAAGGTGGGGCCTGCGAGGGCCCCAGAAACAGCTCCGGTTAGAGAGGGAATAAAACAGCTGGCAGAGGGGCTCAGTGCATGTTCTTCAGATGCACAATTTTCGATGTTTCATGTGGGCTTGTAAAGGAAGTCCATTCTGCAGCTGGTGCTTGTCATGTTCTGTATGTGTAGATAAGTTCAAGCCTTTTAATTGTGTCATGCAAGTCCTGTACATTCTTAGTTATTTTTTTTATTGTGGTAAAGTACACATAACATACCATTTTAGCCATTTTGAAGTATGCAATTCAGTGGAATTAAATACATTCACATGGTGTGCAATCATCACCACTCTATACTTCCAGAACTTTTTCATCACCCCAAAAGCAACCCTGTGCCCATTAGCAGTCATACCCCATTCTCTCCTCCTTCCCGCCCCTGGCAACCCTAATTTGCTTTCTTTTTCTTTGGATTTGCCTATTCTGTGTATTTCATTTGAATTCAGTCATACAATATGTGGCCTTTTGTGCCTGGTTTCTTTGACTTGCACTTGTTTTCAAGGTTCGTCCACTTTCTAGCATGTGTCAATACTTCATTCTTTTTAGGACCAGATAACCTTCCACTTCATGATATACCAGTTTGTTTATCCGTTTACCTGCCGATGGATATTTGGGTTGTTCCACCTTCTGGGTATTGTGATTCATGCTGCTGTGAACATTTGTGTACAATTGTTGTTGTTGTTTGAACACTTGTTTTCAATTCCTAGGAATAGACTAGCTCCCTCACATGTGAATTCTGTACTTAACTTTTTGAGGAATTGTGAAAATGTTTTCCATGGTGGCTGAGCCATTTTAAATTCCCTCTGCCAGTGTGTGAGAGTTTTAGTTTCTCCACATCCTCATTAACACTGCCTTTCCTGGGCGCGTCTGGTGGCTCAGTCGTTGGGTGTCTGCCTTAAGTCAGGGTCAGGGGTCCTGGGATCAAGCCCCACATCGGGCTCCCTGCTTCTCCCTCACTCACTCCCCCTGCTTGTGTTCCCTCTCTCACTGTCTCTCTCTGTCAAATAAATAAAATCTTTAAAACAAACAAACAGAAAACCCCACTCCTTTTCATTTTTAGGGATCAGCATCCTAGTGGGTATGAGGCAGTATCTCATTGTGGTTTCCATCTGCATTCCCCTGATGACTAGAGATGCTAGAACATCTTTTCATGTTTTTGTTGGACATCTTCACAACTTCTTTGGAGAAATGTTTACTTGAGTAACTTGCCCATTTTTTTTTTTTTTTGATTTTAAAAAATTTAACAGTTATAGTAAAAAAAAATTGATTTGTGGTGAAATATGAATAGCATAAAAGTTACCATCTTATGTAGTTTAGTTCCATAGTGTTAAGTATATCACATTGCTCTGCAACTAACCTCCAGAATTTTATTATCTCCCCAAACTGAAACCCTCTACATAATAAACAACACCCACCCTCTCTACCTTGTGCTTGACAACTACCGTTCCACTCGATGCTTCTGTGAATTTGGCTACTCTAGATTCCTCAAACAAGAGGAGTCATAGAGAATTTATATTTTTGTGACTGATAGATGCCACTTAGCATAATGTCCTCGTGGTTCATCCATGTTGTAGCCTGTGACAGAATTTCTTTCCTTTTTAAGGCTGAATAATACTCCATTGTCTGCATGTATCCCATTTTGTTTATCCTTTTGTCTGCTTATGGACACTTGGATTGCTCCCACCTTTTGGTTTCTGTGAATAATACTGCTATGGACATATGGATGTGTGGGTATTTCTTTGAGGCCCTGCTTTAAATTCCTTTTGGGTATATGCCCAGGAGTGGTATTGATGGATCATATGCTAATATCATTTTTCACTTTCTGAAAAACAGCCGTACTGTTTTCCAAAGTGACTGAGCCTTTTTATGTTCCCACCAGCACTGTACCAGTTTTCAATTTCTCTACATCCTTGCCAGCACTTGTTTTCTGTGTTTTGATAGTAGCCATCTTAATATCTCCTTGTGGTTTTGATTTGCCTTTCCAAATGGTTAGTGATGTTGAGTGTCTTTTCATGTGCTTATTGATCATTTGTGTATCTTTGGAGAAATGTCTATTTAAATCCTTAGTGGCACCTGGGTGGCTCAGTTGGTTAAGCCTCTGACTCTTGGTTTTGGCTCAGGTCGTGATCTCAGGGTTGTGAGATCAAACCCTGTGGGGAGTTGATTGATATTCTCTCCCTCTCCCTCTGCCCCTTCCCCTACCCCCCCACCCATGTGCTTTCTCTTGCAAATAAATAAATAAAATCCTTAATCCTTTGCTCATTTTTTATTTTTCAAAGATTTGATTTAAAAATATTTTTAAGAGTTTTTTTAAGAACACACGCTCATGTGGGAGTGCAGTTGGGTGAAGAGGCTGGGGAAGACAGGGGAAGAGAGAGAGAATCCTAAGCAGGCTCTACACTCAGTACAGAGCCTAATGGGAGGCTTAATCTCATGACCCTGAGATCATGACCTTAGCCGAAATCAAGAGTCCTACACTTAACCAACTGAACCACCCAGGTGCCCTTTAAAGATTTTATTTTATTTTATTTTTAATGATTTTATTTATTTGACAGAGAGAGACACAGCAAGAGAAGGAACACAAGCAGGGGGAATGGGAGAGGGAGAAGCAGGCTTCCCGCTGAGCAGGGAGCCCGATGAGGGCCTTGATCCCAGGACCCTGGGACCATGACCCAAGCTGAAGTCAGACCTTTAATGACTGAGCCACCCAGGCGCCCCTGAAAATTTTATTTTATTTTATTTTATTTTATTTTTTAAGATTTTTTTAAAATTTATTTATTTGACAGACAGAGATCACAAGTAGGCA